CCCTCCCCTCCAAGGCTGTCGGACCACTCACCGCGCGCTCCAGGCCGGGCTCGGCGGCTCGGCTCCGGCACTCAGGCCGTCCCCTGCTAGTCCGCGCCGGTGAGGAGGCAGCGCCGCGCCCGCCGGGCCCCGCGGCCGCCGGACTGACGGCTCCCCGCCAGCCGGCCGCTCCAGTCCGTCCCCGCCCCGGCGCCTCCTTAAAGCGACCGCGCCGCCAGCCTGCGCCCCGAGCGCCTGGCGCGCCGCGCATTCCTTACATTGCCACAGCGCCTGCTAAAAATAGAGCGCCGCGGCTGGGGAGCCCGGGGCGCGTGCCTGGACCCCGTTGTCCCCGCGTGCACCCCGGCCCCCAGGACGCGCGGCCTGCGAAATCCAGCCCACTCGTGCCGAAGCCCCTGGGCCCGGCAGGGCGCGCGAGCGAGCCAGGGGCAGGGGTCGGCGCCGCCGCCTCCCCCGCGGCCCCGCGCACTTACCCGAGTCTGATCTGTGGCGCCCGGGAGCTGGCTTTAAGGTGGATGCTGAATGGGAATTCGCCCCGGCCTCTTTAAGAGCCTCTGCGCTCCAACCTTTAAATCTCCGCTCCGGCCCGGCCAACTTCTGAGCCTAGGAACGCTCTCCAGTCCTAGGCGAGCCTCCTAGGCGAGCCTCCGCCGCCACCTTAGCCGCATTCCCTTCCAATCCGGAGACGTCTTTCTTCCCGATCCTGCCCCAGCGTCTCTTCCCCTAGGCCTTCTTGGTACGCCGTTCCAGGGCCCAAACTTCGTTGGGATGGATGCAACGGAGACTGGAGACAAGCGTGCACCATTTCATTGTTTCAGTTCCGCTAACTCTCTCCAGCGGCGTCATTTTCCCCCGTTAAAAAAATCAAGATATAATTCAACACCATAAAATTCCACCTTTGAAGTATACCATTCAAGCCCGGCGTGGTGGCTCAAGCCTGTAATCCTAGCACTTTGGGAGGCGGAGGCGGGCGAATCGCCTGAAGTCAGGAGTTCAAGACCAGCCTGGGCAACAGGGTGAAACCCCATCTCTATGAAAAAATCAGCCCGGCAGGGTGGCACGTGCCTGTAATCCCAGCTACTCGGGAGGCTGAGGCAGGAGAATCACTTGAACCCGGGAGGCAGACGTTGCAGT